AAAAAGAAAAAGAAAAAACATAAGCAAATCTTTAAAAACTATTCTACTAAGTTCTTTAGGGCTAAAATAATATATGCTGTGGTTTGCACCACTTAAACTGTTGAGTCGTATAAAGACTTTTGTACAGCACAAAAATTCAAATCCAACGTTGTCACTTCTTCAAATCAGTGCATTTTATCTTGAATTGAGTAGGTAACTGGGACACTGCCAATAGAATAAGATGATTTACATTTAAAATAAGAAAAAACAACTGCAGTCTCTTATTTTAAGTGCAAAATATCTAATTATCTTATTTTAAGGGTAAAAATTCTCACTCGAATGACAGGTCATCATTTACCTACTAAGGTTAAGGGTAAATACACTTATTTAAAAAATGTTTCCATAGTTTTAGATCATTGTTACCATCTAGGAGTGAAACTAAAATAAAAAAAGAAAGAATTTCCACATGGAACAGCTCATTTTTATATGCATACTTGTATCCATCACAGAGTGTACAGTTGACCTCTTCATCAACATCAACCTTCATTTTGGTTTTATTATAGGGATAGATATTCATAAACAAATCCTACAACTTTATTTAATTTAGTTTTTTGAAATGCATTTTAAATGAAGTGAACCCATCTAATTTGAGTGTAAATTAAATGTGTTTTTTGAATGTATTTAAATATTTCATATTCTACCCTAAGCCCATTATTTGTGAATCTCCTCCCTGTCTGGGCCAGTTGACTCTTGAAATATGAAAAATTAACCTAATTTATCAAATCAAAGATATATGCCTATATCTCCTGCTTGTACAAGTAATTTATCAAATTTACATTCACAATTACACAAAGAAGAGTAAATCATGAAAAAAAAATAGTTTGATTATTAAAATCTTTTTTTTTTAGGATAAAGTAATAATAGAAATGTATGCATGGTGTGTATAGGCGGCTCCACTGCATGCTTGAAGAAGAATACTTCAAAATTATCACAACTGCTTTGATCAGAGGGGTGAAATTACCTGTACTAATCACCAAGGTTTCAAGCCTACAAAGAGACAAAATGGTTTATTTGTATTATTCATACATTTACTTTACTTACACAATTTTAAATTCTTCAAAAAAATAACCCAAATAAGAAATCAGATGTCTGATAAAAGCCATCAGATGACTAAAGTTCACATACAGTTATGACACACATGCAAATCACATTAAGAGCTTTAAAAGACACATTTTTAAAATTATTAAAAATAAATTAATTAAGTGTCAGCAATTCGATTTTTTGGGGGAAATTTACTCCAGTTCACACAAATTAAAAAATTTACCGTGAGACTCAAGTCTATGTATATAAACATATTAATATTTAGATAACTGAGAAAATGCTCATACTGTGAAGACTTATACCCCTTGCTGTACATTTTTCTTTAACATTGATGTTGGTTAAAATATTATTCCTACATTCTGGAAAAAGAAAACCCTAAATGCTTCTTTAAGAAACTCCAAAAAATAATCTGATATTTAGACTGATGTTAAGTGTATGCAAGCTCATCAATTTTCCTCCAATCTCTATACTATTCAACTATTAGATGCATGTTATGTCCATTAAAACACTTTCAGCAAAAGAGACATTAGTTTCTTGGGGTTTTTGTGTTCTCAGTCTGATCCAGATTTCTATGGTTTTACTTCCAATGTGACAAAAAAAAAGATTTTTTTATTCCTTTAATAGGAAACGAGGGCCTACATGAGAACTACATTCAAGACAGCAAGATGGGTTTTGTCATCAATGCAATCTACGCCATGGCTCACGGCCTCCATGATATGCATAAGGAGCTGTGTGCAGGACAGACAGGACTGTGTGAGGCAATGGATCCAATTGATGGCAGCAAGCTACTGGACTACCTGCTAAAGACGTCCTTCAGAGGAGTGTCAGGGGAGGAGATTTACTTTGATGAAAACGGAGACACCCCAGGCAGGTGAGAAAAGGAAAAGACAGAAAGAGGAACCTTCATGCATAAGCACAAACATGGGCAGCAGACCTGAGCACAGAGGGATGTTATTAGTTTGGACTAGAACAGATTCAAAGGAGGACCCACTGTGGCAGCCTACATTCATCTTTTATTCCAACACAATAGACACCATTTGACCGTCGGAAACAGAGCTGCATGAGGTTGTAGTGAAGCACATCCTGGCTCATTTTAGAAATAAGAAAATTGTGTACTTTTTAGGGAACATACTTACTATACATGCATACATGCTTTCTAGGCTGCTTAAAGTCTTTAAATCACATCCCCCTCTTCGACCATATCCTCTTTATAACAATGCTTTTTGCCATCTCTCTCCCTTTGTCTGTATTTTCAGATATGACATCATGAATCTTCAGAATGTGGGTGAAGATCGCTTTGACTATATAAATGTAGGGTCCTGGCATGAAGGCATTCTTAACATAGATGACAACAAGCTGTGGATGAACAGTAGTGAGATGGTTCGCTCAGTCTGCAGTGACCCCTGCTCCAAAGGACAGATAAAGGTAGGGATTTAAATCCATCAAAGAGAAACAAATCTATAGTCATTTGACAGCTGCAAATGGTTATTTCAGCAGGAGAAAATGAGTTTGACAGTCAATAACTTTCAAATGATAAAAATAAATGGTTTTTAAGACCCTTTGAGGGAAAATATTTTCTAAACTTCTACCGAAAGAGACATTTTAAATCAAAACAAAACTATGAACATAGAGGTTTTGAGGAAAAACTCAGGTTTTACAGACTAAAACAAAAAAAGCATTACCTCATTATTTGGATATGATGATAGATAATTCTACTTTTAACGGCAAAATATCTGATGCACCAGTAGGGATGCACCAATAATGGGGTTTAGGTTCTGGCTGACAAAAAAAACAAAAGGTAACTGCTAGTGGAAGCTAGCTGCTCTGCTGTGGGGTATGCAAAAATATTGATGGAAGGAAGAAACGTGGTAATTTCTATTTTCTGTAACCAAAGAGTGCTGAATTGTTTCATAACTGTCAAGGTAGAGTGGATGTTGATTGAGGACCCAAATGCAGAGATGAGGAGGCAGCGAAGAGTTTTGCTGATTTAATGAAGGTGGCAGCAGAAACACCAATCCAGGAACAAAATACAGAAAACCAAAAACCTGGGGATGCCAGGAAAAAACACACATGAGGGGCAAAGTACGTAACAACAAGAAACCAGCAATGAGGAACTGCAAAAGGATGTGAATATATGGGGATAGAGCAAAGAATGGGCTAATCAGCAGATATGGAGCAGGTGTGGATAGAAGTAAGTTGAAGAGAGCTAGGCAAAAGAAAACTGGCACACGGCGGCAACAGGGAGAAACTCAAAAAAAGCAACACTGCTTAAATATAACAAAATGGAAAAGAAACCAATGACCAACAAAATAGAGAAACACAAATAACTGAAAACTCAAAAAGAATTCCAAGAGGGGAGAACCAATAAGGTAATAAATGTCTGTGAAACGTGAACCCTGAGCTATATTTAATATTAGAACAATCTATTCCATGTCTTAACTACTTATTACAATTTAGGTAAGTACATTTTAAGTGTAACTTTGTCCTGAATTAAGTCATTTTAGGTCATGTCACACACTGTATCACAAATACTTTAGTGTCTAATAGTGCTGAAAATTTCCTATTAACTGGATGAGGAGAGACCAGTTTTCCTTTTTTGAATAATCAGCTGGTACTCTGCCCACTGCCATTAAATAACCTGACTGGCCATTGTTGAGGCCTAATAGTTTCTGTTGCTGCACACTAACCTTCTCTTAAGGGAGTCTTCAGCCTGTCCCTGTTGGCTCCCTTGTGCTTCTTCCTCTATCTGCTTTGTTTCTTGCCCCACTTATCACCCTGCTTTGCATATCGCAGTGCTGGTAACAGCTTCTGCAGGAGCAGGAGGAGTTATTAGTTAGCCTTGTTTTCTTAACACAGTCTTGGACTTAAAAAGAGTCACTGCAAAATGCCTGCCTTTTAAATTTCCCTCAATACTCATTACCTCCCTTAATACATAATGCTATTGTATGCATATGCTGCTGAAAGAGTTTTGGGTTTCTTTTTGTGATTGGATTTGATTTATGACTGGTTTCTTAGACGCCTATCCTCTCTCTCTCTATGAATGGTGTCTATTCACAGGTGATAAGGAAAGGTGAGGTGAGCTGCTGTTGGATTTGCACGACCTGCAAGGACAATGAGTATGTTCAAGATGAGTTTACCTGCAAGGCCTGTGAGCTGGGATGGTGGCCTGATGAAGAACTGGAAGGTGGAACAGCTGTCTTACATGCATTTTTATTGCCTATTTTTGTGACAAAATATTTTAGCATTTCATTTTATCAATATCTGACATTCCATCAGATTAGTTTTTTTTATTTATTTATGGGCACCAATAATGGTATACTTATATTTCCCCTTGATATGCCCAGGTTGTATCTACATTTTATATAAATATCTAGTTTCAGCTAACTTTACTGAAGCTCCTGAACAAATCCATAAAATTTTACTAAAGATTGTCAAACCAATCTTTTGCCTGTTAATTATTTGGTTGATTCCTTTGGTCATGCTTTCAGAGTTCATCATTCTTGCTGAAAGCAAGCCCTTCCTTAGAAGCCTCACTGCTTTTTTCCAACAGATTCATTTAATCAGTTACATCCTTGGCCCAAACCCTCGGATTGCTTCTTAAAACTCCCTGTTAACTGCAAAAAGGTGATATGGCTCGCTTCCTTACTCTTTGCTCTTCACCTGGTTGTATCCTGGTGGTTGTTTTGACAGCATTTTAAGAGGTTGATAGGAGCTCTCCATTCCCAAGAGTAAAATCCTATTACTGCTATGAGAGGCTTGGGAACACACTTCAGCAGTGTATTAAGAAAGAAATCACCTTCAGTTTCATTACTTTGGGAAAAAAACAAATGCTTATGGAGTTCCTTAGTTTAATCACAATAATCACAATAGTCTATTGGAATTGTGACTGGTTTAAAATGGTAAATTTAAATTCTGATTTACCTAGATAAGAAATAAAATCTGTCACTATTAGGCTACATGGACTACTTAAAAAGTATGATTTCCTAATGATTTGACATGTTAGGCGTCAGATCAAAAGTAGGCTTCTCAGTGAAGTTATTTTAATGCTATTAGCAGAGGCACATCATTTATGGAGTGTTAAGCTGGGGAATTTGAGGGATGTCAAGTTTTCTCTGTTATTAAGCTTTACACACTAAATGACAAGCATGCAACTAGTGCAGTAAAGACACACATGTCCATCTTTTGCACACATACGGTGCTGGTCAGAGCTTAACAAAAATCCATCTTAGGCTTTCATGTCTTACAAATTCAGGCCTTTTAATGTTGCAGTTCAACCTTTTAGAGATTGGAATAATGATACCACTAAGTAAAATGTTTAATTTGATGAGCAAGCTTGACTTAATTACCATTTTCCTTTTATATATACAGTATCTAAATTATTCATACAGAGGGAAATATGCACTCATCCTCCTTCCACTGATGTTCATTCCAAGGAAGCTATACTTTTTCCTGTAAGGAGTCATTTTAACTGGTTAAATTTCTGAGACAGACAAATCTTTTCTTAAACGTATAAAGTCAAGACTGATTTTTCTGACTGATACTGGCATTTCATTTTTCCATTTCAAGATTCATCTCATATTCTTTCCTTGAATTTATTTTACTTTTACTCCTGAACTAAAATAAGTGTAAATTAGCATAATTACCACCCAAATAATGCTGTAAAAGGGTATGACTTCTCATGCTTGTTAGAAGCTTTACTGGTACGGAGATCGAGGTTCTGTTGACTGAGAGTTCAGCAGCAGAAGGACCAGTAAAAGCCAAGCAAAGGGAAATAAATCAGAAGAGCTGCAAATGCCATGATTGCACTGTTACTGAAGTAAAAAAAAAACAAACAAAAAAAAAGGGAAAAAAACCCCAACTATTTTGATCGAAAAACAGTCAATATAAACTACTGGTGGAAGCCAGATTTGCAGCATATGATGTAAATGCTTAATACGAGTTTGCCATCAACCAACATGACACAACATTCTGCAAAATCTCCTTTTAATGCACATGCACACGTGCACTGTACAGCTTCACCTGACCATGTCTGTCATCCCTTTGTTGAACTCTCCATCTGCCTCATACTACATATAAATATAAAAATGTTAACGGCAAAACTCACATTTGACAAATTCCGACAGACCCAAGCCCAAATATTCCTATTTTGTGTATAACAAAGACAAAGAGCTGCCTTTACGTGAACTGAATGCATACAAATTATTAAAGAACTGATTTGTTTGTACGAATGCTTATTGAATGAGGTCTAATTCAATGAAATGCATTGAATTAGACCTAAAATAAAATAGCAAATAAAATTTTCTCCAACAAACTACAATAAGATTCAGTTTAATTCAGTTTAGTTGTGTAGTGCCAATTCACAACACAAGTCATCTCAAGGCACATGAGATCATACAGTCAGATTGGTAACAAGTTTCTATATAAGGAAAACCAGCTGAATATATTGAGTCAGTGGAGAAGAAAAACTCCATTTTAACAGGAAGAAACCTCCAGTAGAACCATGCTCAGTGTGAGCGGCCATATGCTGAGGCCGACGGGGGTTCAAGGAGACAGAAGCAAACATAGAAAAAGAAGCAGAGATACAAAAGGCAACTGTCAACAAGCTCCACAGGCAGCCCCGTCCAGGAAACACACAGCCAGGCAGACGAGGTCTGAGCCAGCTCCCATGTCAGAGGATGAAAGAGAGCACATCCAGTTAGTCACAGTAAGGGAAACAGGTCTACACTGAAAAACAGGCCAAGATCCAACATTCACAAACAAAGACGTTGATGGCAGCAGCACAGCCGACATCCCTCTCCAGGATGGCGTCACAGCCAAACAGGAACAGAATGATGCTACTATTAGAAAAAGCAGAGAGAGGATAGGGTTAGAGATTGAACAGACAAATTCTGAAGAATGAGAGAATAGAGATAGAATGAAGCAGAATGATGAAAAAGGGGTCCCAATGTCCTCTAACAGTCTAAGCCTATAGCAGCATATAACTATAGCTCAGGAGATAGCTCAGGATAACCTGAGCCACTCTAACTGTAAGCTGTATCAAAAAGAAACGTTTAAAGTCTACTCTTTAAAGTAGACAGGGTGTCTGCCTCACAGACTAAGACTGGTAGTTGGTTACACAGGAACACAGGAGAGGAGCCTGATAACTAAAAGATCTGCCTCCCATTCTACTTTTAGAAAATCTAGGAACCACTAGTAAACCTGCAGATTGAGAGTGAAGTGCTCTGTTGAACTTTTCCTTCCCCCTGCTCTGAGCAGTAATGAAGTTATGAGATTCTTTATCAATAAGATTGATTCTAATACAAATAAGATAATAAGCACGACTCCAACTATGACTGGTTCTTCTCTGGAAGGGTGAGGCAGCATTTTGGGTTTCTATAAAACCAGAATTGGGTTTGTACTGTTTTGTTCCAATGAAACTTTCAGATTTAGCAACATTATCTTCAACTATCTTCAATCTTCAACTTGCATATTAAGTCCAGTTCCAACTAAGTTATTTAAGTAGATACTCTGATTTCCATCCAAAGTTTAGTATTTCTCTGTCCCTGTTACAGAGATATGTACCATAGACATTTGAGGTAGCTGTAATTAAATCTTTACTTGAAAATTACTTAGGTGGAACTGGATCTAACATACAAGTACTGTAGAATCCCACTGAAGCTACCGGTACCTTCAACACCAAGGGCAGCTGGTCCATTGCACAAAATCCATTTTCCAAGTTAAACAATGTTATAATAAACCAACAGCTAGATAATTGATGCTTGGACGCACTTTTATGTCTTGCAGAATTTCGTGAAGTATTTTTTTTTTTTGTAAATAAGTTTGCATATATTAAATTGAGCCCCTATTCCCTTTTCTTTCAGGTTGCCAGCCTCTGCCTCTGAAGTATCTTGACTGGGCTGATGTGGAATCCATTGTAGCAGTCGTTTTCTCCTGTGTTGGCATCCTGATCACCTCCTTTGTTACCTTTATTTTCATCCAGTACCGTGACACACCTGTGGTTAAGTCTTCCAGCAGGGAACTGTGTTATATCATCTTGGCAGGAATATTCTTGGGTTACATCTGCCCGTTCACCTTAATCGCTCGTCCCACAGTTACCTCCTGCTACCTGCAAAGACTTTTGGTAGGACTTTCTTCTGCCATGTGCTATTCCGCCCTGGTGACTAAAACAAACCGAATTGCCCGGATTCTGGCTGGCAGCAAGAAGAAGATCTGCACCAAGAAACCACATTTCATGAGTGCCTGGGCCCAGGTCGTTATTGCCTTCATGCTTATTAGCGTTCAGCTAACTCTGGAGATAACACTCATTATTCTGGAGCCTCCTGAGCCCATCAAATCATACCCTAGCATACGTGAGGTCTACCTAATTTGCAACACCAGCAACTTGGGTATGGTGGCACCCCTGGGCTACAATGGCCTGCTTATAATGAGCTGCACCTACTATGCCTTTAAGACACGGAACGTTCCTGCCAATTTCAATGAGGCCAAATATATTGCCTTTACAATGTATACTACCTGCATCATCTGGCTTGCCTTTGTGCCAATCTATTTCGGCTCTAACTACAAGATCATAACCACATCCTTCTCTGTCAGCCTCAGTGTAACAGTAGCCCTAGGCTGCATGTTCACACCCAAGATGTACATTATCATTTCCAAACCTGAGAGGAATGTCCGAAGCGCATTCACAACATCCGATGTGGTGCGAATGCATGTTGGTGACGGGAAGTCGGCTCAGTCTCAGAGCAACAACATCTTTAACATGTTCCGTCGGAAGAAGGCTGTGTCTGGAAATCCCAAGTGAGTATCTAATTTTTTTATAATTTTGAATACTATACCATGATCAACATGTGATCAAACTGAGAGATAATTAGGCCTTCCCTTTGAACTTGAAAGTCAGAATTTAAATGTATTTACTAGAAAAACTCAGCAAGGACTTCGGTTTAATAGTGAAAAACAAAAAGAATGTGTTTGATTATAAAGCAAAACAGCTGGAAAACCTTTTTTTACTTTACTGATTTTCTATTGGGATACCATCAGACAGTCTCATTTCCTTCTTCCGACTTCAGAGACAAAGGGAATGCAATATGATTAAGTATCAGAGTTTACCAAAAAAATCAGTCTATCAGCTATTTTTCAAAATTACACAAATGTGTATAGTTCTTATGAAGTACTCCCAAAGTCAAAAACTTGCATAAAATCATCATCATCATCTGAAATAGAAATACAGGGAGAGCACATTACAAAACTGATAAAGTGTAGGCTGTTGAGTTTAAAGCAAGCAGCATTACTTTGAGGTTGTTGTTTTTTTTTTTTTTAAATAAGGCTTTGCACTTATTAGATAACCTATTCTAAGTGATTCATTTAAGTTGGTGGATATGGAAATTCAATTCTTTTAGAAGTCCCTTAAACAAAAATCTCTTTAAAAAATTTTTAATCCTCGTTCTTCAATCTGGATTGAGCTCCACCGGCTCAACCACTGCAATGTTCATTATTGCTTTAATTTCTAATGAGAAACTCTTACCTATAAGTGTAGAGTTAGGGTCATTAAATGGTTTGTTTGGAGTGTCAGTGGGAAACTTATAGAATATTTCATATTAATATATGTCTATTTTATAAGCAAGAGCCTGCTTTAGATTTTTTTTTTTTTACTTTAGAAGATCAGTCCATGATAATCATATTTATGATGTATGTATGAACTTCTGTGCATTGAATAAGTAGTTTTCTTTTTTGGACCTTGTTTTTCTAAAATTGCTTGATATTGTTTGTATGCTTATTTTAGTTACTACCACAAACCTTGGTAAATTTTGGAAAAGGTTTTACCTCAAAGACCAACATGAAGTCAGTCAAAATTATGAAGTTGAAAAGAAAAGGATACATGGTTTTCCAATGTTTTATTTTTTACAAATGAAAAATCTGAAAACCTACCAACACATAGTTATTCACAAAAACTGAAAGGTAATCTAAGGAAGGTAACAAAAAGAAAAGCAGTGAGCTGACATACGTATTGGACCTCAACAGAGATGCATGTCAGATATAAGAATTTGTTGAGAGGACAATTATTAGTTGCACTCTTCACATTTATTGTCTTTATGGAAAACTGGCCAGAAAAAAGCCATTGTTAAAAAATACACAAGATAAACATTTGCAGTTTTCCATACAAACCTTAATGCATCATCCACACCTGGACTAACGATGACGGTGACAACCATGGGGATACTTTTACTTAGTAGTGGGAAGGTAACTGGTCAGAGCTGTAAAAAAGGGATGAAAACATGGTATATAACATGCTATGGAAAGTTCTGCAAGATATTTAAATAAGTATGTTTTCTTTATTAAGTCTTCTTACTGTTAAGAATCACAAACTGCTACCCAAAGAAAGCATGAAAATGTAGTAATTTAAAACTAAATGTCACACCAGTAAGTTCTCATTTTCAAGAATTATGAAAACTATGTATCCTTTTGCTTATACTTTATTGTTTTGCAGTGCATTGTCATTAGTGAACTAAATTAAGCTCTAAAACTAGTTGTGTTAAACTGTAAAATACCTTTAAGAATCTGGCTGTATTGCCATGAAATGTTAAAAAAAAAAAAAAAACAGGGAATGTTAATGCTTTTACAAGGTACCACACATTATCTCAATTTAAATTTATAGACCTTGGAAGTGATGTTTTTAAAGAAAAAAACATTGATTCATAAGGCACATTCCCCTCCCCCTGAGATCTAAAATAACATTGATGAAGTTTATTTAGTCTATCACACACATTCTAAATGCCATTTGGACATACATACCGTATATAAAGTGAACTGCCCTTGCTACATTTCAATGTTTTTTTGAGAGAAAATGTTACCCAGCCAATCAGATTTGTAAATAACTCTTTTAAGCTCCACAGCAGTGACACGTGGACAGGTGACCAAAGTAAGGAGTGGGGCAGAGAATGAGACTAATCCTAATATGTTTAGGTGTTGTCTCAAAATCCTTGCTATGAAGCTTATCTAACATCAACCTTTAATCACATGCAATTTAGAGCCATTGCTGGCAAATGTTGTGGCAAGGGGGTTATCTTCCTTACTGGAGGGCTGCACTGTCACTGAACTGTTTATTTCTGGCATCCAACAAAATGGCCTTTTACAAAATAAGCTATTTTAAAAAGTATTTTTCTTTCATTTTGTGATGAAAGAGAATACCATGTTTTTGCACTTTGTTTTCAAAAAGCCATGATTTCTTCCAGCCTTTAAAAGTACCCTTTTGTATATTTATGTTTATGCATTTTGCAGACACTTTTATTAAACTTGACTTGCAAAGTAGACAAAATGTTAAAGTTATTATCAATATAACAAAGGATTTCTAGAGTAAAATCCCTAGCCAGAATCAGTTGGTACAGTACAGAGATAGAGTTAAGTACAGAAAGAGTAGTAGAGGGGTACAGAGCTATGGGTAAGAGTTAGGACAGGAGATGCTTTTTTCAAGAGGTTGGTCTTTAGGAGTTTCCTTAAGATGGACAGGGATGCTGCTGTTCTTCAAGTGCTTGGTAGATCACATGAAAACACATGAAAACAGTCTGGATTGTCTTAAGCGTTATGTAGGCACTGCTAGATGACAATCAATTGATGACCGGACTGACCAAGTTGTGATATAAGCCTTTGCAAGAGGGTTCAGGTAGGCAGTAGCTGTACCCTCATGCACTTTGTAGGCAAGCATTAGGGACCTGAATTTGATGCATCTTGTAAAAAGTACAGTATCTAGAAAAACAAAAACAAAAAAACACCCTAAATTTATGGCAAGCCTCCAGAAGGTCAGTATATGTCAGTTGAAGCCATTTCCTTTTCACATAAACAGAGCTGAACCATTAGAAGTGCAATAAGTTTTTCATTTCCACATCTGCTGGAGTCTACATTACCTGGTGATCGATTTGTGTCCTTGTTGCCCTTTAGAGATTTTTTTTATCTGAATGATTACAGCTGATCTCCTTGGACTGTATTTAAACATGAATGTTACTGTGGGTTTAAAACATCTAGCTTACAGTAAGTGAAAGTATGCAGAAGAAGAGGTGGGCTCTATAGATGATGATATCTAAAACATGCTGGTTTGTAGTGGAGCAGACTTGAGCGCAGACTCGAAATATTTGATTCTTTCTCAAAAAGTTTCATAAAAAATTATTCTTAATCTTTGTTATTCTGGTAAATGATTGAATCCATCTAGCGCTCTACATGCTGCAGGTTTCCAGTGTCAGAAGAAGCAAAAGAGCTGTCCCACTGAGCCACCACTGTGCTCTAATGCAGGATTAGTGTTCTTTTGAGCTTTTACTTTCTTCTCCTCCAGTCATACCAATGATTCATAGGCCAGAGCTCAAGTCTTGAATCATTTGCCCTCCAAACTGATTTTTTTTTTTTGTTGTTGTTGTTGTGAGCAAACTGGAGTTGACTTTTGCTGTCCTTTCCAGTTGTTAGTGGAATGTCTTGGAGTTTAGGCATGGAGCCCTTCAGTGTTTACTATGTGGCTTTTTATGGAAACTGAAACCTCAGTGGCTGCTTCCACCAAATCTCGCTGTAGGTCATTTGCAGTCAGTCTGATGATTCTTACTTCCTGCCTCTGCAGTAACCTGCTGGTAGTCATTAATACAGAAGCTTGAAAGAATACAACTCTGTTAAATTTAAACTTAGGAACTATTTCTCCATATGTATTTGTTGGAGCATTCGTGACCTTTGACTTCCTTTTTCTTCCTTCTCCTGTTTGTTCAAATCTATGATTTTCTGTTCAGATCTTTTTTTCAGTTCTCCAAACTTTGTATATTTTTGACATTTGATGAAACGTTATCAACTGAAGACCTTGATTGGTTTTATCAGGTGGGGCTGAGACCACAACAGATTTGCAAATTTTCCTCTGATTAAGGATTATAATTAGATGGATGATTCAAGGTGCATTGGTCACTAAAAGACTGCCTTGGTGCTGAATGTGAATACAATCCTTATAATATTGGCTAATCTGGAGTTTATTGCAAATACTTGGGTAGTTCTGATTTTATTCCAGTGGGCCCAAGCTGGAGCACAGGTTGGGGCAATTCCACGTTTTAGGCTATGTATTGTAGCACTCTGCAAATCAAATTTTAGATGCTAAAACACCTACACTATGTAAAACTATTTTATTTTGGTATGTCTTTTTATTTGAGTAAAGGCGCAAGAATAAATGATATCTATATGACATATCCAGTTTAAAAGGCGTCTTTGCTAGATGCTGTTAAGATGTAACTGGTTAATTTGTTGAGGTCAGCAGCGTATTTTAAGTTTGAATGAGTCATAGACCAGAGATAAATCATTTTAGAAACGATAACCTTTTCCTCTGAAAATGGTCAGGAATTTATAAAGAAATATGTTCAAAATGAAACGAAGAAAAAAAATTGTTCTTGAACACTATGTTTTCTTGGAAGCAAAGTGCAGAGATGTAAAGATTCAAGAGTATGATACACAGTGATATTTCTAATGATTTGCATTTTGATTTTATTGATTTTGTAACTTTGGTGGTTTGACACTGCAGCCTTCCAAAAAGGATATTACCACCCTGCTGCTTTTGGTTTATCCCAAATTAACATCATATTTAACTTTTCTCAGCATGTAAACCCTTCCCTGACCACCCTTCTAACTTATCACATTAGAGCCAGTCCAAGCTCATTCTGAATAAAACTCTATGTCCGTGTCAGGCCAGTTTCAGAGAACAAAAATCTGTGCAAACGCATGCATCCTGTTTTATCAGAAGTAAAAAGGGAATAGAGAAATGAGCTGGATGACTCCTAATTCTTTAAATGTATGAAGCAATGGGAGGATCATAATGCTGTCTGCAGCGCATTATGAATCATTGTTTGTCAAGCTACTAAATGTAATGCTCCTTAGGGCCCACAAGTTAGCTCTCATAGCAACTGTTCATGTCTATTCATGTGGATAAAAAGTATTTTGACATGCATCAGAAATGTTGAAATGCTGCAGCTCTTTTGTGGTATGTTGCTATTGTTGTGTTTTGTTGTTTTTCTGCCTCCACCTCCTGGTTTCCTCTGATAGTAACTTGGGTCTTTATCTCATTCATAGTTCTAATGGAAAGTCTGTGTCCTGGTCTGAATCAGGTCCAAGACACCCTCCGAGGGGGGGGAATGTGTGGCACAGACTGTCTGTGCATGTGAGGAAACAGGAAGCCGGCTCGAATCAGACAGCGGTCATCAGGCCCCTAACTAACACCCCCGACCCCCACAGTTGTGAGCCATCCAGCGACAACCTTGGCACAGATCCCCCACCTTCCCAGGACACACCTGGCGCCAAGCCTCTGTGCAATCAGGCGGAAGAAAACGACGAGGTGGATTCACAGCGCCCCCTCTGGACTCCATCTTGCTCAGAAAAGATGCAAGGACTGGAATTTGGTTTAGATGAGCCGGCTTCTAATTTGCCCTGTGACTTAACACCCCCTGCCCATGAGTGCTTGCAGGGGGCAATGGTGGACACACACAGCTCCCACGCTCCCGCACTTAAAAACCACACTATCAGGGAGCATATTCCTTCCAACAAGCCTTTGAGCTTAATACCCCCTCAGCTTTCTTCAGCCCCAAGGCTGGGTGACTTTGAGGACGAAGGTTCTGAGGATGAGGAACTGGATCTCTTGCACAGTTATATTTATGATGCCAAGGAAGAGAAGGAGGGGGAGGTAGGAGAAGGTAAGGACTTCATTAAAAATAAGACCACTCTGGAAGAGTCCCTGGCTCTGTCTCCTCCCTCCCCCTTTAGAGACTCAGTGTGTTCAGGGGAGTCAGCAAACGGCTCTCCCATCATAGATTCCATGCTTGGTAGCTCGCTCTACACCTCAAGTATCCTCCAAAACTTTGCACACAGCTCTTCAACACTGTGAGAGCAAAACCGGCAAAGCTCCGGTGGCTATAAGCAGACATTACCACAGAAGCATCCAGACACACTCAGAAGCAACTTTTCAAAGTTTTCATTAAGTAAGTAGCTTGCTTGGTTCATTTCTTTTAATTACTAGGTGAGTAAAAAGAGTGTAAGTAGAAATACACAAGGAATTCTTTAGCTTAAGAGTGCTTTTGGAAAGGGCGTGTAAACAGACAATGCTTATTGAAAAAATTAAGAATAGGGAAGAGTGCCAAAACCAATTACAGGCTTGCTCTATGAAGCAGGTTTGGTGGCTTTTTGCTGTAGGTTAGGCTTCCAATGTAAGATCATCAGGAGAGCTGGACAAGGATTTTCTTATTTTTAACTGAGCAGGACTACTGTACATCTTTTAGAACAAAAAAGAAATAATCCCATCTTTTTATTCAATTACTGTAAAAATAAAAACATTTAAATTCTTTAAAATAACTCAATGTAACTCTTTAGAGTCTAATTGTCAGAAATAAAACCTAAAGATTTACAATAACTAAGTTAACTGGATTGTATGATTTTGAACTTTGAATCAACTTACCGGTATATGGATTCCATTGCTTATCTCAATATTCTCCCCTTCAATAACAGGAAGCATCAGACCAACAAACACCTGATATCCATCAGCATCTTTTAAATGGCTATTGGTAGTTTGAACAAGACTTATGTATTGTCACAGAAAATGGTCTCAACAACATCCAGAGAAGGATAAGCATAATTTTAGACATATTTTGATATCTTTTTCCTATATATTCTTGTTTTTAGTGGTTCTTGACTAACCTGGCTGCATCATTCACCATCACACTGTAATGACAACCCATGACACAATTAAACATCTTAATAATTTTGAACAAAAGAAGAACATTTGTGCAATTTGAACCTCAGATGATGTAATTGGATGATATGGAAAGTCACAGAAAACACACACACAAAAAAAAACAGGCTGATAATTTTCAAACTACTCTGAATTTGGCTTAAAAATAAATATTTGGCAGTAACTAAGTGCGCTCTGACTGAACAGATTATTGAGCACATTATTAGATTAGCATATATGCATAACTGATCTTCAACTTAGGTTCCTTTTCTTATGGATAAAGCATCCTTGAACTGGAGTGAATACGCACAGACTACAAATACAATGTATCGCGTTAATATTCATATTTCCTGCTGATCCAGTTGAGAATAACTGGTTTAGCAGAAAACAAGTTGAATACAGCACTATTTATACAAAAACCAATTCAGATACACTAAATTCTTAGAGTACATTAGATGAATAAAATAAAATGGATGGATGATCCATCCATCCATTTTCTCCTGCTTAGTCCTTGTCAGGGTTGCGGTGGAGCGGGTGCCTATCTCCGAAAAAAATAATGCGGGGTACACCTGGACAGGTCGCCAGTCTGTCGCACGGCAACACAGATACACACAAAGACACACAACCATTCACACACACACTCACACCTAAGGACAATGTAGAGAAGGAAATTAACTTAATAGTCATACTTGTGGACTTTGGGAGGAAGCCGGAGTAACTGGAGAGAACCCATGCATGCACAAGAAAAACATGCAAACTCAATGCAGAAAGACCCCGGGGCCAGGAATCGAACTCAGAACCTTGCTGTAAGGCAGCAATGCTACTCACTGCTCCACCATGCAGCCCAATTTGAAACATGAAAATGTTAATTAAATATTAGCAGATATTAATTTTTCTTAGTCCAGATAAAAAAAGCCTTATTTTCTATTTATTTTTTCAGTTCTGCATCTTATGCATATTATGTTAATGCAACATGATACTTTCATCAGTCTTAGTAATTTGGAATAGATATTGCTAAACTCAAGCTCCGTCTACTCCTTTTTTACTATTGTTTCTGCTTCTGCGCTGCCATCGATCCTGGGATTTCCAATCTATTAATCTTAGGTAAAGGCAAACACACCTAGAGTCATTACTCTTGGAATGACTGAGGGTTAGTTGAGATAAAAAGAACAAACCCATTTTTAACCTGCTTGGTGGGACAGGCCTCTTCCTTTAAGCTAAGCTTATGATAAATGAGAGTGGCGATAAAAGATGTAGCTGTGGTTTTGATGATTTTTGAAGAAAAAAATGTCTGTACTGAAAACATAAAGGTGTAACAGTAAATAAAGTTTGAGTATAAAAACGATTAGCTTAATTTTTTTCTAAAAATGATAACTAGCTGTGGCAATTCTTCCATAATGTGCTGTTTCACATTTTTTTCCTCAGATCTAAATGTACCATATCTGGATTGCTTATCAAACATTAAACACAGACAACTCAACATCAGTTTGTGAGTTGTTATTTAAAAATCTAAGGAAATCAGAAATTCTCATGCAATGTTTGGCAATTTAGCTAAACCTAATTTAGGAAAATTACCGTAAATCCTGTTTAAAATCCCAGAAAATATAAAAATGGAACTTAGCAGTTTTTTGAAGGGGAGGATGGGTTGTAGGTAAAATGCCATGTAATAAAACTCATTATTCTTGTTTAAAAAGACTGTATAGAACCCTGTAACTAACAGTGTTCTTGCATTCAGATTACCACAAAATTTATAAGTAGATGCATTATTTTTCTAGTTTTTGGTCAAATTACTGGCTAAAATGATGATAAATGAAAATGATATAACTTGGCTCTCTTATATTTTACATAATTATGTTTAAAACTGGTGTTCTCAGCAAAGGAATCTAACTGCATCACAAAGATTCCCATGATGCTTTTTATGGTTTTGACCTCATCTGAACTTCTGGGTTGTTATTCCAGCTTATTACAAGTTATGTCAACATAAAGGTTGAACTTTTTTAAAGCGGCAGTAAATACATGCAACGAAAGTTAAATTTGTTTGCAATCCAAACTGAAAGTCTTATTGCTGAAATTTTGGACATGAATTCAAGTGCTGTAACACTCCTAGAAAAAAGATCTTCCCCTTAATTTCTTTAAAATGCTTTTAATTTTTTCGTTGAATAGATCAGCGAATAAATGATAGAAATATGCTTTTGTAATTGTTTTTGGAAACTTCCTTTGTTTTTCTCAGACCTTTATAAGAATAAAAAAAAAATAATGTTGTGAAATGTGCCAAACATTAGCTTATAATGCAACATTTAGTGAAAGACTTAAGCTCAATGATGGATACATATCATCTAAAGGTTCATCAAATAAAGACGAAAGTGTGATTGTAGGCGAGCACATTGCTGGTGATACAGTTTACACTATGTTGTAAAATTTATTCCTGAGAATAAGTTTTACAAGTAAGAGAGATGACTTAAAAAAAAAAAAGAAAATGGTTTTCCTTTTCATTCTGCGCTGATATTTTTCCACATTTTTCCAAGTTTTGCTGTGTCATTGTAGGAGAAGCACAGTACAAGTTGTATAAGCTTTGAAGTTTGTAATACTGTTTAAGCCATCTCTTGTTTTTTTGCACAGGTGGTATATTTGTAATATGAATAAATGTTTATATATTTAGAATGTGAACAGAAAAAAAACAAGTTTATACATTTTCAAACTGTCTGCAGATATTTGTCAAGGAGCAGTGTGTTTGAATTTTTGGTAACTTTTAAGATAACTTGAGCAACGGTATCCTCTTGCTTACTGTAATAGGATCATACATTTTTTTTCAGCTTTGCTTAAATCTTGCTATAAATCTAAGTAGTATACTTAAAGCTAAGTTCCTTACCCTTACTTTTTGTAATCTTTAACATGGAAAAACTATTTAAAAGTAAAAAGACTACACAGTACATACTGTAGTGCAACTGTATTGTATTTCCAAATGTTTTAAGTCAGATATAGTGTAAGTTGTTTAATAATTTAAGCTGATGTAAAATATACAAGGTGCCACCTGTTTAACACTGTTGAATCTAGAGTGATATATGCCTTCACATTTTGGGAGAGCTGGACATGAACATCCATCCATCCACCCATTATCTGACACGCTTGTCCCAATTGGGGTCGCGAGGGGTATGGACATGAACAATGCTGTAAAAATAAAAGGTTATTTATATTAAAAAGTCTGATCTCTGCCCTTAATTAATTTCTGAAATACTACAGTTTGCGCATCTTAACCCATTCGTGGTGCGGTGTTTTTTTTTGTTGGTAGAATAATTTTAAGCATCAGGTCAGGCATTGTAAAATGTAAAGGGTCACAACACTGATCTATATGATGTTTACATAAAGGCAAATTAAAAATGAGATAACCAAGGACTGTGATTTGATGTCATCAATATTTTCAGAGGATGACTCACTAAACCACTTAAAGCCATGTTTAGATTTATAATAGAGGTGGGGGATATAGACTGTAAATAATATCTTGATATGTTTATGGTAAGATGATATAGGATATGTATCCCAATATGTTTTTCTTACCACACACATTTTTAACAAACAGTTGTAAATGAATAAGGCTAAAAAGTAAGCTACTATCATAGCCTACTTAAAAATATAATCATAATTCACCATCAGAGCTGGACTGGCCATTGGGTATAATGGGCATATGCCTGGTGGGCTGATGCCCATTTTTGGGCTGACCCAAGGCTGTCATAATGCAATCAAAAATTTATTTATCATAATTCAAGTAATAAATTCATTTATATTAATAATTGATAAATTTATGGAATTATAATTTAATCAAAGGTAAAAAAAAAAAAAGATAATCTTAACAGTGATACATGAAAAATCTCTTTTACTTTAAATTACTTTTCGCATATTTTCTGGTTTGGTCTTTACACTACCAGATTCTTTTGATTTTATGATAATTTACATAATATTAAAGTAGTCTTTTTACTTAACAGTTCTTTCAATTTATGAATTTCTTTCTTTTATATATTTGTTTTTAATCATATACTACAGTATACTTCATATACTGACCAGCGCTAGTTTGTATTAATACCTTCATTGATTGAATTCCCCAACTTGAATTGTGCATCAAATCCCAGCACCTTACCTCAGAGTACTCCAGTTTTAGACAGTATCGACTACTTCATAAGACCAACGATATCAGGCATATGATAAAAAAAAGGAATCTCTAAAGATTGCTATGTATTAGGTTAGCACCATATTACAGATTTATGTGCTCTTATATGTGGGTGGGGCCAGGCCAGAAAGACAATCAAAAAGGGGTGTTACAGAGGAAGGAAAGAAAATATATTATTTGTCATTAATGTAGAAATTCATTAAAGGATGTCATTATCTTTCTTACATTCAAACATAGGACTATTCACTTATTTTAAACACTATGTGACCTGAGATAGCCAACAAATATCCCCTAATCTTTCTGTTTGAAAGAAAGATCTGCATAGAGATTCATCCGGAATTACTATCTTTGCTTTAAGATTGTCACGACTTGGTTATGGTTAGTTGACCCAAAAGCAGAGGC